GGAAAGAAGATAAAGTTAGGTTGGAGAGAGGATTAAAAAACGGTGGGAGGTTTTTCTTGAAGTTTTACTATGGTTGTTCTTTGCTCCGTAGTCTGTCTCACGCCACTGCAATCAGGGTAAATCAGAAATATGCACACACTCTAACAAGCACAAACAAAACAGATATTTCCGTGACAATAGTGTGCCAGCTGGTGGGAACAACTAAGCAGAGGGACTGTTGTTAGTTTTTTTTTATCACAGGGGTACCGGGTGGAAGTCTTGCTCAGTGCTGGAATCCTCTGTTCTCCTCAGGAACACAAAGACAAATAAATCTTACAAGAGACAGGAGAGGAAAGCCAAAGCAAAATGGATGGAGTCTTCTTTACGTGGGAAGAGATACAAGATGGCTTGAATGATATCAAGACTTGAATCGACTTTAATCAGTCATCGTCAACTTGGTGCCATAAGTTCTTCTATTCCTGAACTCCATATTTTCTTTAGTGGAATTTCTACCTATCAGTGATGACAATGGTGCATTCATGAAACCTGTATGGGTCATGTCTGTTTACTGTGCTAGTTTAATGAGAATATACAGTATATACTCTCTACTTTGAAGAATCCGGCAAACCTCAAACTAATAGCAACAAAACATGTTCTCCCAGCCGTGACGCTTGACCATAAGGAGCTCTCTGCAAAGAGTTGAATTAAATTACACAGTGTAAGTAGCAACCCACTGTGAAAGGAATGTAGTGCTAATGGTACAGGAAGAGGCTTACAAACTACACTATCTGAGGTTTCAAAGAGTAAAGCAGTACCTTAAGCACTACCTTGAGCTTAAGGTCTCGTAAGTTTATCAAGACAGATGTTCCTCCCTATGTCCATTCTGCAAGGAATTCAAATAAAACTTTAAAACAGATCTTAAATAACAACAACAAAAATATTCAGGCAATAACCAAACAGCACTTCACTGGAAACAGAATTTTGGTTAGATTCATGTTTAATGTCATAGCATCTCATGATTAGGTTTGAAAATGATCAATGGAAGGACTTAAACATGTCCTTTATTTTTATTTATTTTTTTACAGTGCCACCTCACCTTGATGGAGTCTATTTCTCTTGTCTTGGTGGCAATCCAATGCTTTCTCTCTATCTAGTAGGGTTTAGCAAGCAATAACATTACTCACTTTGTGTTAGATATCAGAACTAGCTATAGATAAGCATTTTCTAACACAATTTTCTCAACCAGGAAGCATTTTGGTAAAGTTTTCTACTCTTGTAAGAACATTTCCCTGAAGGGAAAAACATCAAAAGAAAAGAAAAAGTGTGGTAAACAGTGATGCCTCTAGCTAATTCACCCACCTCCCTTCGACTTTAATGAGAGACATGTGATAACATCTTCTCCAATGTGGGTCCCCCCTCCTTCAGCCTATCAGGGGCATTCCTTTTCAGGATCCCATTGAATGCCACATATGAAGAAATGACATAGATGACTATTGATCTCTATGCTAGGTGATGTATCAGGCATCACTTTGATGCTTCACTAGCAGTTACTCTTATCTGCAGAGATAGTTTTGCATCTACCCAAAAATGTAGGTGTACTTTTTTCATTCAGAAGAAGATTTCTTGGGTCTTTTTTTCACATATTGTCAAATAATGTCTGTTGTTTGACATCAGAGAGTGAAAATTTGTGAAATAGAATACGTCCCTAATTCTAACCAACAATCCACAGGATGTACCCAATGTACCTAATAATACCTAAATAAATTCCCTCTGGGATTATTAAAGTATTTCTGATTCTAATTCTGATAATGGGTTTCATTTTAGGAGTAGTATACTGTCAAAACTTAAATCAGATCTCCTGTACAGCCGAAGTGCATTTAATTTGAACCAATGCTCTGGAACAGGAAAAAGATCAACACAGTAACATGACGGACCCGGGAAGTTGTGTTTTCTCGCAAAAGCATTTAGTGTCACACCACACTCCGTGCACTGGGCAGCAGGCTGTTCGCAGAAGAGCACAAAGCTTCCAGCTGTCTCTGCGTGTCCAGCAGACTGAAGGACCATTCTTTCTCCCAACACCAACTGCTTCGACAGGGCTGGGTCCGACTCTCAAACCCGGGCCCTGGTCCCCCTGCACGTTGTGCTGTTCCTCTGACCCCAACACATGGCCCCAGGGATCCTGATGACCGCGTGTGAGCGCACAGACTAATCTGTTTGTGTGCTCAGTTGGACTAACTTTTGACTTTTCTCTTGACTTATGGTATATAACACTCACAACTAAGGAAGCTATTAAAATATAGCTCACTGTTTCACTGACAAAAGACTCCTGTCAACCTAAGTACTGCTACTCAAAAGCTATGTAAATGAGAGCAAACAGGAAGCCATATCAGTCACAGGGAAGTTGAGAAGGATCGGGATTCAGTCTGACTGCCCTGATGCACCGTCCAGGCTTTTATTTTCAGCCTGTGACTTTCTGCACTGATGTGAGAGATGTCAGGGGAAGGTGGGAACAGGTTAGCAGGTTTTTCTCGTTGCACCACTTGCTACATATCCAAGGGTGTACTCCTGCTTAGATAATGTATCAGAGGGTAGTTCCAGAGTAAACAGACGTGTCAATTCGGCTCCGTCTGACTCAGAGTCAGCCTGTAAGAAGTAAAGCCAGTGTCAACACAACCATAAACTTATCCCGAAAGTTAACCAGGAAATTGAAATCCTCAAAGCCAAATATGTTTTCACTTCCCCCTTAAACCCCAAGTAATCAATTTAACTTGAAAATGTTGGTGTTTTTTTTACTGGCAAAAAAAGATGATTGTAATTTCTGGTTCCACAGCTTGACGCGTCACTGAGTTTGTCCTTTACTGGTGTGTAAACAAGCATGGCGAGCTCAAATCCGATGCCACTGTTGGACAAGACCTCAACTGTTAAGAGTGGAAGAGTTCAACCGTTTATTGGCGTGGCATCTCAAGAATGGTATCCCCCCCTCGCCGGTTGAGATTGTTTTCATTCCTCTCGGTCGTTTGGGGTAAAGGAGGAGTCACTAACATTGGATAACATCTGCCAATCAACAGCCAGTCTTTCCTGACCGGGTCATGAGGAGTCTGCATGGACAAATATGTCTTGCTTCAAATCAGCAGACTCAGAACGCCGTGGTTGTGGAGAAACACCCAGATCTGATAAGCATGAGCATCACCTGTCCATTCAGCATGGTCAAACAGAGCATAGCTAAACGTTTTAAAAGAAAAGCCTGAATGACACAAACAGCATAACATCAAATTATGAGGCAGGGGAGAATTTCAGGTTTGGGGGAGTGGACACCCCAAGACATCCTTGTTGACATAAACAGATATTTATGAAGAAAAGGAAACCACGATAGTATGAGAACAGGGTCCTTAGAGGTTGTAGAAATGACTTTAAGCAACAATTGCAAAAAGTGTACCTCTGTTACATTATTTTGTGATTTATATATTTTGTTTCAGTGATGTCAAAGGGAAGAAATCTATTTTTTTTTAAGGAAATTAATATAACACATATATATAAGTTGTTTCAGTTTTTTGTCATAAGCTTTTAAAGCTTGGTAACGTTTTTTTATTTGGTAAAATGTATTCGTTCACATCAGATTTGGTTACTTTTCATCCCCTATAGATTTTAGGAAAATATAAGTTTGAAAGTGAAAAATTGTATGGATTTAAGACAAATTTTGACCGAATGCAATTTTTAAATGTCTGCTTCTGCAGGGTTCTGCGCACAACAAAACAATCCACATTGTTGTGAGTTAGAATGAAACTGAATCTCAGACTCATGCTTTAGGAATGCTCCAAATAGATTGACAAATTGTGAATTGACAAATAGATTTGCTGCAAAGGTTAAGAGACTGCTCTTTTTTTTTTTGGGATGCCAGATCGCAGTAAAGTTGTTCTATCCATTTCAAAATACATACAGCTGGAGAATTGTCATCTAAGGACCAGCACCGCACAGAAACAACGATCTAAGCAGACACATGTGGAGGAACAGCTGTGCCAAGCGGCTTATGAAACCTTGCAGAACCAGCTCTTGAAGCGGAGTTGCAGGCAGACCGACGGTAGGGAGAGACGAGGGAACCGAGAAAATATAACGAGCTGAGTGAAAAATCCGAAAGCAAAAGGCCATTCACTGGAAAGATTGACGTCTGGAGACGAAGCTTTAAATGCTGACAAGTTCAAGGAGTTTTCCCTCTTCCTCAGAGTTGTTGGCACCGTCACGCTCTCTGGTGGTGAAACATGCTTAAAACACTTATTGCAGCTTGTCCATTGGAGAGTTAAGAATAATTTTATTTCTAGTTATCCAAAAAAAATTGATTATATTTTGACTGAATATACACATTTAAAAGGTAAAATGATTTTTTTCTGTTGAACTCATGAAAAAATGTTAAAGCCATCGTCTAAATAAACTAAAATTTTGAATAAAAAGCATATGATTCTTGTCTGATTCTTGATGGGATTTTAGTTGCTCAATAGTTCTGGGGCTGATGTTTTGAAATTTGTGTGTTTGTTAGTCATTCAAAGGCATCATTACCATGGAAGAGATAATTGACACACTTAGATTGAGGCTTTGTTGCATGAAAGTTTTATTTCCAAAAGTGGCCAAAACAACTTTTAAGCTTTTAAGCAGTACCAGACACCAAATGTTACTCATGACCTTTTTCATTTAAGGTACCTGGGCGAGAAAAACAACAATGATACCAACGACAACAACACAATACATGTGAATAGAATATAAACTGATGGATAAGATGTGGTTGGAATAATAAATAATGAAAAGGAGAAGCAGTGGTGATGAAACGCTGCACTGAAGCAGAAGCCTAAAGAGACAGCAAACTGCACGCACGCTCACACACACAGACACACACATCCTAGCTGACCAGTTTAATCGAATGTTTTTACATGCATTTTCAAGGCCTAAAGACATATATTTAAAAAATGTTTAGCCGTTTCTGAAATCTTCCTCAAAAACACAATATTTACACATACAACAGGGAAGGTGAATCAGATATCCCAAAGAAGGAATCTTCTATTTCAGTTATCTGTAAGAGATAGTGTCTCTCGAAATCTATCATTTCCTGAGCTTTGTTTTGTCTGCAAATGATTCTACCCATACTTTCAATAGACTACAAAGACAGAGGATCAAAGAGGGGGATAACTGTAAAAAAACATCTTATGCATGATAGCTAGCCAGTGAAGACATAAGGCAACTCTGGCATACAGTAATAGTAAAAAAAATGTACAGCAAATAGTCAGATACTTCTCCAGAAAGCTTTTGCTTTAATCTGTTTTCTTCGATTGATCAGTGATGTTTTCTGATTTTCGTCTCCTCCTGTACTTTCATCAGTTAAACAAGAAAACTCAACCGTGCTGGAGTAATAAAAAAAAGTAATCTATATAGGGAGATTGTAATTTACAGTAGCACTTTTCTTAGCTTTAATATACAAAAGAAGCTTAAAGACTATCTTTTTATCCTAATGATTTAATTAAATGGTAGTCTATTTATTTAGAAATACATATGGAATGCTTATAAAAAGAAAAAAATAGCTTTGAGAACTTAAATACTATCAGTGTCGGTTTAAGTCATCATAACCTAACAGGCAAAGCATTTTATTCATTTGTAACCCTCTGGGTTCCCAGAAATGTGTATTATTGTTGTTTTAAGA